GTGGAGTCTATTTTAGGTCCTGGACTTGGCCATGGTCCTGTTGTAGTCTAAGAAGTAACTTGACTGAATATCTTATCATGGGGGCGGGGAGGGGGGGGGGGGGTACTGAGAGACCACGTCTGTTTTGGTCTGAATAAACAGAGCAGTGATGCAGAGAGAGAGGAAGAAGAAGAAGACGAAGACGACGAGTCACTACGAGGTGAACATGTTGGTCCTACAGCAGCAGCAGTGACATCAGTAACATCAGCAGCAGCAGTAACATCAGCAGCAGTAACAGTAACATCAGTAACATCTGATCTGATCTCCTCCTCCTCCTGTAAACCTTGTGGTTTCCGGCCGCTGCAGTGAGGAATGTGGGAAATGTGGAGTCGACGACAAAAGTGTTTGGAGATATTTAGTCATAGACGCAGAGATCTGATTCAACCACCGTCACCTGACACCTGTAAACACTGGAGTGGGGGGGTGGAGGGTGGGGGGGCAGATACCATCTCCCCTGCCCTCACCCTGATCCACAGACAAACTTTTCATCTGATCTAACGATACACTCTGGCCCAGGTGGTGCATCCCAGTTCACAGTCTACTTTTCAGTTTTCCGTTTTTAGTTTTCTGCAGGCACGCCACTGGATGAGGAGGAATGTAGAGGGGAGAGAGGAGAGGGGAGAGGGGAGAGAGGAGAGAGGAGAGAGGAGAGGGGAGAGAGGAGAGAGGAGGTGATCAGGGAGCAGCTTCAACAAACACAGCACACCCGCTGGAACTGAGGGGTAATAAACCTACAGTGTGTAACTTTAGAGATACCCCCACCTCTATGAAACGGCACCGATTGACAGGTAAATAAACCATGGTGTGGGTCGATTCCCTTAAGGTTAATGGACAGAGTTTGGACCTCGCCCCTCGTGTTGAAATGTTTCACAGTTTTGCGTTGATCATTACCATACAGTCCCAGTAACTTTGATTCCGACTCCACATGTACGGTTGTGTGTACATTAATGGAAGGAAAGTGAACTACTTGTCATTGTGACAGCGCTCCACTGCACCACTGCACCACTGCACCACTGCACCACTGCACCACTGCACCACTGCACCACCACAACACTTCCTTTAACAATACAGAGTGAAATTCCTGCAGAAATGACCTAGAAAAGGAACAACAGTCGGACGGTCGGACACCCAGACCACCCAGGTTCTCCACAACAACAGCCTGAACTCACGGAAACAAACGGTGGAGCTCGGCTGTTAGAGGGACGGCCGTCAGTCATGACATCATCGCTAACTATCATCACAGGCCCCCTGTGGAGGAGGAGGAGGAGGAGGAGGAGGAGGAGGAGGCTGGACAACACATTCACAATTCACAACAACAATTCACACTCACGCTCACGTTCACACCTTCAGTCAGTTCAGTCTCCTCCTGTTTTTTTTTCGGCTTCTAACCTGAATAAAATTAATAATAAATTAATTTAAAAATCATCAATTCCACAGCATATCCAGTATCTCTGTCCCTGTTGGTCCTCATGGTCATGTGACCCTGACCGCGGCCCAACTGTAAGTGTGCAGTTCAAAGACACCTTAACAGCGTGGGTCATGCTCATGGGCACACTGACCCTCCTGTTCCCCCTCCAAGGTCCCAGTGTCTGGGCAGTGAACAAGCCTGTGCAGTGT